CAGCCTATCAGAATCATCTTTTGGGCTCAGTTCCTTCCTTTGCTATTGTCTGTGTTCCTTTTAGAGACTGCTTTTTCCCCTTACTTTTTCTGAGCGTAACACCCCTCAGATGATTGGATAGGCCTGCCTGGGGGTCCATGCCCCCAGCCCTCCCTCCAGGTGAAAACCACCCCCCACCCCAGATAAGAATCACTGCTGTGGACGGCCACCTTGACTCCCTGGCCTTTACTCTCCCATTTCTAGCATTTAGTATGTTGGTAGTTCCAGCTACACTTCCTACTCAAAAGACCTCGGCATTTCCCTCTCCCTGCCCAACAGTCCTGGCGCTTTTCACTTGGAACCACCTTATTGTCTTCCCCGTTTACACCGTAACACACAGCATGCCCAAAAGGCCAGTCTGCATGAGAGAGTTGTGCTTTTGACACCTGCACATCCCACCGTTCATACCCCTGACCCATCCAATATGACTCCCAGGCGCTCGGTTCATACCTGTGGCCTCAGTCTTATTCTCCTAGGCACTTGCTCCTGACATTTTTCCTTAATCATCCCTCCTCTTTTCACATCACTGACAAGGTGCCTCCAAAGAGACTTCCCATTTTAGTGGTCATCATCCTGTTTGTTTCCCAGAAAGCAGCCCTTTATCTTAAACTTTCACCCTTTCTGAGCTACTCTGTGTTTTTTCTTTTGGTGGACTCAGATGTCTTCTCTAGCCTGTATTCATTAACTTCAACACTCAACATGTAATTGTCCACCAGCTCAGATTAATAAGATGGTGTTCTCATGCCTACAGCTTGGCTCACTTCACCTTACCCCAAACCCTACCCCAATCCCAGTCCCACTGCCCCCAACCCTGCCCCACCCATTCATCCCCTACCCAAACCATCCCAAACCCCATCCCCACCACCCACCCTTCCCCACCGGATCCGTAGTAAAGAGCCTGGCCCAAAATTCGCAACTTTGCAACAAAGTTCAAGCTTTAGGAGCAGCCATTCCTTCCTGCCTATTGCTATCCACCTCTTTTACATGTCCCCTTCCCCATGATGAACTTTGCAGGCTGCCCCGAGCATTCCAGGTTCCTTTCTTCCTACTCTGGGACCTCCTGTTTCACCTCGCTCCACCTGTAGCTGTCCTGCCTGGCTCTTTTGGGTTGTTCCACCACACTCTCTGCCCTCCATCCTTCCCTGGGGGACCCTCCACCTTGTCGGTCTTTAGGTGACTCCCCAGTTGCGCTGCCTCATCGTCCCACTTCCACATTCTTTCTTGCAGCCTTTCCCCTTGTGACACATTTCTTCTCTTTGCTTCCTTGGCCAAGGGAAGGCACCTGCCTGTCTGTGGCCCATATTTCTCTCAACCACCCAGGGCCTGTCACTTCATTGGACTCAGTCATCTCTTCTCTAGGGATGTGCTCACTACTTTGACCTGCTCTCACCACTCAAACTTTTCCATCCTCTCCGTATCCCACCTTCCCTTCAACAACTGTTTTCTGTTGCTCCTCCAGATCTTCCACTGATTCAGGCCAGTGCCTTCCCGGATGCTGCCTTTTCCTTGCCCTCTTCCACTCCAGCCTCCTCTTTTCTCTTTCTCTTCCATGAAGTGAGTTCCTACAAAACTCCACAGCCAGTCCTGACACTTCCTCCTATTCCTCCTCTCCTCACCTCCGCTATATCCATTTACCTCCAGTAGGGCTCCCATGAGCTGATGCACCCCTGCCCATATGCTTGATATTGCGGCTGTCCAGATCCACCGTTTCCTCTTTCCCTCTAGGCCACACTGCATTCACTACACCTGTGTTTAGGATTTAAGACCTGCTTCTTACTCAGGTTCTGGCCTCTGTCCTATTCTGCCTTTCCTTTACTCTTGCCTCCCAAGAAAGAATTACCCTTGCCTCTATCCAGCTCTGCTGCCCTGACTACCACTGGATTTACCGTCTAACTGTGTCCCCATCTGCTACTGACTTTACTTTTCCCACTAATCCTATCATGCTCCACTAGGCTTGAAGCCTGTGTCCCCCACCCCCACTGGAGCCTCATGATGTCTGTGGATATTTTGCTTCGAAAGCTGCACTTCCATACCTTTCTCCCACTCTTGAACAGCAAAACCAAGGATTTAATGATCACTGCGAATTATCTTCTCTGCATTGCTTAGCAGTCCCTACGTTGTCATTTGGAAGCATCTTTTTGCCCACATACTGGACTCAAACCACGAGTCCATCACCAAGTTTCTGAGTTACCTGCTAGTGGTTTCTGTGGAGCTGCTGTCTCAATGTGCCGTGATCCCTGATGCCCTCTCTGTAACCCCAGTTTCTTTGGCCCTGTCCCCCATTTTCTCCTAGGGGCCTCAGTTTGCAAATGCCCAGGCTCTTGCTTCTCCAGTCTGCTCTGCTCCTATGGTCTGGCCTTAATACTGCTTATTTCAACAGTTTGCACTGTGAGGTCTGGCACAGCCCCCATTTTGGGAATTCTGTGTTCCATCTTCCCCTTTTCCATGTTGGTGCCTCTCAAAGCTCAGTTCTGCCCCTCCCCCACACAAATTCATGAAGTTATTTCTCCTCTTACACCCCTCTTGTCCCTTTCTTTTGCCATCAACATCACTGACCCATCTCATGACCCACATAGTGCCTTCTGACTCCAGACTAGATAAAGTTTGCAACCTTTCACCAGCCTTTCACTGCCTTTTCTTACACTGCTGTCTTTGAGACCCTCTGATTCGTCTTCAACATCCAGTCTACATTCCCTACCGCCTCAGGGTCAATCCTTGCACTGAGGAGTCTTTTCCTTAAGGTCCGCTCCCAGCCTGAGCTGCCCTCACTGCTGCTACTGCCAGCCTCTTTGTCCCCAGCGTGCTGTATTCAGTTCATCTGCTGTCTGATAGGAACTCTGATCATTTTACCTTCTCCATTCTGCCACTAAGGAGACAATGGTTTCCTCTCTAGATAACATCCCCCGACCTTCCTTCCTCTCACCTTCCCTCTCACTGATACATTGGTCCCAACAGTTCTGAGGCGCCACAGCCGCTGCACCCTCCTACTGTGGTCTCCCACCTCTCCCTCCTTCCTTGCTTGTCTTACCTATACCACGATTTCTCTTCCATGGACTTCTCCGTAGACCTTGTAAAGTCCCTGGACTCCCCGTGTCCCTCCCTCCTTATTGGTTTTTGGCATAGGACCCGCCACTCCCACCCTCTCCCCCAACCCCCGCACCTTGGAACTACAGGCTCTTTCTCTTTGAATATTTTGCTTCACAAACTACCTCCATTCATTTCTGCCACTCCTGAACAACAAAACCAAGGATTTGGATGCAAATCATCCCTTGATGCAACACATTCCCTGATCCTCTCAACAAGTTCACCTCTCTAAGCTGCTGGGCTCTATAACCTGCTCCAACTCATTCCTCCTGCCCATTAGGGAACACCTCTCCTCTGTCCTGCTCTTCCATGTGTTGCAGACTCATCCCCTGATGTCCCAGCGGCCAGCTCCCGGGCCCAGGCTGCTCGTTCCTCCTGCTTTCCTCCTCTGCTGCACAGCACGGTACTGTCCCACCTGCACCATCCTGCCTTCTCCCAGCACCATCTGTGATTCTC